CTGTTCTCGGTAAAGATTGCAGCCGTCTTTGTTTGACGGAAGGGGTTGCTGCAGCCGAGTTGAATTGTGCCTGGGTCTCTCTCCGCCTGGGAAGGAGGGAGGGAAGCGGCTCTACGAAAAGTCGCACCTTGACAGGACGTCAAGCAGGTATTCAGGGTAGGTTCTGGAAATAGCGGGCGCTGGAAGCATCGGGGTGTGTTGCTATATTGCGCCTTGTTGAGCCTTTTTGTAAGGGCTTCCAGTCGATGAAGTTGTAACCGTAGCTGTGCTTGGTCCATTATTAAAAACTTTGTAAGTTTTCTTCTTAAAATACACGAATAACTTTACTATGCATCAGAACTACACGTATCTAGCTCCTGTATGTCATTCTGTCAATAGGTCTTAAACACTACATGCAAGAGGTAAATGCTATTCTCATTTCACAGATGAGGAAGGAGTCACAGGAATACACAAAGTGTAATTGGACTAAAAATCTTCTACAGACGTGAGATGGAAAGAATGTGCAATTTCCTTAAGAGCTTAGCGGCATTTACGACTGGTATTTACTTAGTTCTACTTTTTGTTATTAATCCTGAGTTCATTTTAAAAGGCCAGCACAAAGCTGCGAAGTGGCTTCCTGCAAACCTGCTCCAGCCTTATACTTTTGGCTTTTACATTGAAGTACATTAATTCTTGGGCCCTTGGTAGGTGTTACTGTACTATAAACCATAATGAAATATACTTTTGAAAGCTCTTCCTAGCTAAGCAGTTTTCACACTGAGATCAGGCATCTGACAGCAGAAACTTTGAGACAGGAATAGGTCTCTCTAATTGTATGCTTTGACTATAAAATAGCTAACTGTTTGAAAGCTGTATTTAGGTACTCTTTGCTCGAAATAGATGTTTTCATGGCTCTAGGATATAAACCAATAAATTTAAATAAGATCCTGAAACAGAGTTTGCTGTCAAAGAGAAGAGTTGAAAATTTGAAGACATGATTTAGCAATGTTTTTACTATGTCAGTGTTTATGGGGTAGAAGACCTATGAAGAGACTTCACAATGTATAGCACGGACTTCTTGCCTTATTGATGTTTCTTTAATTTCATTTTTTAATTAAAATGAGTGAAATAGTCACCATTTGCCTTTCTGCTGTGAGCTTTTAAGAAACAGTATTCCATTCTAGAGGTGTGTGGATTTTGAGAGTTGGTTAATGCTCTCTTAGCACTTGAACAGTCTTTTTCTGGGGATTCTCTCTTTACAAGCCTAAACAGAAGTGACTGATAGCCTTGCCAAAACAGAAAGGAGGAAAATAAACTGATGGGCAAGTTGAAATGCAAAGAAGAAATTCCTTACAGGAATGTTTTTTAAATGTTCTGTTACACTCTATTCCTGGAGTCTGAAAGATACTCTTCCTTCTCATAAGACTAAGCAATACCAATGTATGTAAACAGAGTAGTAAGATTGCTTATCAGGGTCTCTTGAACCTTTTCACAACCCAAACAATCGGTGCACATTTAAAAACTGAGGAGTAGGTTTATGAGAAACCCTAGGTTGTAAAACTTTAGGAAGCACCCTGAAACAAGCTTGTAGTCTTTGTCAGCCAGTCTTTGAAACTTAAAATTAGGGTAGGGTTTTGGAAAACCTTTGACAGTCTTCGTATCCACCAAAAGCTTTTGCTTTGACAATGGAGGTGGGCTTTTCTGGCATGCTGTTCATGAAAACAGAATGCTCATGGAATTCTTTTAAGGATGGCAACAGCCATCCTTCCTTCTGCAACATCCCTGTTGTGCTGCAGTATGCTGACCTTTGAAAAATTATTCTTTTATATGGCTGCTCTTTTTACATCTTGCTGTTACTCAGTTCAGCAGAACAGAGGGTAATCTGAACATGGAGTAGGAAATATGATGCTAAGTACAAAAATTAAGGGTTTAATTTTACAGTTAAGTAAACTTCAACAGGCTTCCTTATATATCTCGCACTACTAATGCCTTTTGCTGTTGAAAAGAACAGGCTTATTTTTTGAATTGAAAATTCTCTGCATCATTTTGTTAGGTGGGTTATGAAAAAGTAGAAGAGAAGGATTTTGGTACTGTTTTTATCTTTTTCTCAATTATAGTAATGCTGTCAGAAGAGATTGTGGAGAAGTGCTGGTAAGTGAGGGCTGTTTAACATCACAGGAGACCTATCACTGAAGTCTTGTTTTGGTCTAAGATTTCTGATGGAGAACCAGATGTACACCAGTACAACTGATCAGATTTACTAAAACGAAGATCTTACTATCTGCACGTATGCAGTTTGCATTATTAAAAACCTCTCTGCTTACATCTTCATGGTGAAAAGGAAAAGTGCGTGTCTGTGGCAGAGCTTAAATGTTACTGCACATAAATTTGTAACAGGAAATGCAGCGTGCTTCTAGTATTGTACAGTAACTCTCTAAGAGAAATGTAAATTAACTGTTTTCCTTCTGTATCTGGAGAACACATATATTGCACATCTCACTCCTAAAATTTGCTCTTTATAGGGCTTAAAGGTACTTAACAATGTAGAAAAACAGATGCAAAGCAAATTCTTAATTTTAGAAGAGGTGAAATTGTTTTAGTTCTTGCTTTCTGTAGGGGTAGGAGTTAGGGCTTTATTGTATGTTCCTGAGCTCTTCCACTTGTCTTCTCCCCCCTCAGAAACAAATTGCCTTAATTACAAAATAGCATGCTTCTCCCATAGTAACTCATTGGTGCTTCTGCCATTCTAATGAACAGAGTGAGCGTGTAAGTATAATGGCATGAATTCTATTACTCACATTGTATTCAAAGTACTGTGTGGTACGTGCTACTTGATTTAGTAGATGAGGGGGCATTTAAGAATGAAACTATTAACTCCTAAATGTACTTAAACATCAAAACAAACTTTCACTTTGAGAAAGGAAATGGCAGCAAGTAATTCCATTGTGCATTACATCTTTAACATAATCCTAAATCCTCTCTAAAGCTCTTATTCTACGCTATTAAAATAGAAGAATGGACTGTTTAGTCTTTGCCTTGAATGATGCCAGTATTGTTGACTAGCTTTAAAGATTGTGGCTTCTAGTAAAGATTTGTGTAGTATGAGAACTTTGGATCGGGAGTCCATTTTATATAGGATGACAGATTCATTGGACTTGAAGACTACAGTATCCTGTAATGTGATGAACAGCTTGGTGTTTGACTGGGAGTTATTCTGTCCATGGGTAAACAATGTACAATCTCTGTTTAAAAATGGGAAAAACTTAAGCAGGATGCCTTAAGGTTTCCTTATCCAAATACTTTAAACCCCAGCTCTAGAATAGGCTGTGTTTCTTAACAAGTGGTGTTACAATGAAAAAGCTATGTGAGGCTGAACTCCTCTAAGTATAGATCAGTATGCCATGTGGCTCCTAGTCAAACATCTTTTGAAACTGTGAAGAACTCCCATGCAGTGTGATTTGTTTTAAATAATTTTTGTGGCATTTATTCTAAGAATCTGTAGGAAAATCTAAGAATCTGTAGGAAACAATGCACTGTAGCTGTAAAGAATGTGAGGAGAATACCACAGCTGTTGTTTTGCCAGAATTGGACATCTACAACTTAATGCTCCTACTCACTTGTCCTTTTAAGTTTGAATTTGGTCTTTGGCTTATGTATGTAGATGAAATAATCATTTTGGACAGGCTGCCAAACTGAAGGTTAGCACAAAACTATCTTGGAACAGTGTTGTATCTATTACAATGACTAGCTGATAAGATAATTGGGAAAGGGCAGGAAAGAGGTAAGATAACATGTTAAAACAAGGGCATCTTAATCAAATGAAAATGGAATGTGTTTTCTCATCTAGCTGCAACTACCGATGATGCAATACATGTCTGTTGTATGTTAATTTAAGTCTTCTTGAAGTGAATCTAAGTTTTTCTTGACTTTTCTTCTGTCTCTTTCCATTAGTGATGCTAGTTCTATGTGAAAACTTAACAAGATTGTATTGCACACATGTAGGAGACAACCTGGTCGTGGTCCAGGTGATGGGAAGGAGGTGGAAAATTAGAGATTTTTAGAAATCTGTTGGATTCTTAACATGTAATACCCTGCGCAGAGTAATTACAATTTTAGCAATAACGGAGACTTATTTCTTTGTCGCATTATGTTAGCTTTTAAATTACACATGTCTTTAAACATAATAATATAGAATGTCTAGCACTACTGATGCTGTTGAACAAATATCAAGCTTCCCTCTAGAAAGGAACTGAGTGTTCAGATGACTTATTTCTTAATTTGAAACAACTACAGTCACTGCACCCTGGAGGTGATTGAAGATGACTGAAGTGAAATTGAGATTAAGTGCCTGAGGAAAAAATGACATTTAAAATGATGTTTTGGAGCACATAAAACAATTCTTGTCTCCTAGGTTTATGAGCTTGAAAAGCAGAATAGCTACATTTCTTTGAGTTTTATGTCTTTTGATATTATTGTTTCACCATAAAAAGCATCTGAAACTTTCATTTAGCACTTTCATCCTGTATGACCCGAGCTCCTTGGTGAAGGGGTAATGGGGAAGAACAGCAAAGTAAGAGTGCAGTCAGCTTTCGCCTGGGTCTAGCCTGATGAACATTTACAGCGTCTTTTACACTTATTGTAAAATATGAGTGCTGTAAACATGATGAAGTGTAGCTAACAGACACCTTGGGTAGAGATGCTGGTGCAGTACTAGGCAGATAGTGGGAAGTGAAGATGGCTGGATGTGTCTGACCTGTGGCTGAAGGACCACAGGAGGAACTAAGGAAGCTTCATGAAATAAGAGTATCTTCTAGGTTTCAGGACTGACTTAGACTTGTATTATAGATAGTGTATGAATGTTCTACTTAAGTATAAGCTAACTTTCTTTTTGGGTACTGGAAATAACTTAAAGCCGTTACAACAGCAATAAAAAAACACCTCAGGTATTTGAATTAAAATGCTTTAAAATGGGATTACATTATTGGCTCTAACTTATGTGCAAACGTGATTTCTTTGTTTAGATCTTCACCTTGCTGCTGAGCTTGGGAAGACACTGCTGGACCGTAACACTGAACTAGAAGAATCTTTACAACAAATGTATGCAACAAATCAAGAGCAACTGCAGGAGATAGAGGTAAATATTTAAGGATCCAAGTGTTAAAGCATCTAAACCTGCAACATAATAGCATATAAGTTGAGATCTGAATTTCTTGACATCTGATGGACACTTTAAAGAAAAATACTGAACAATCTTGAACCACTTCTGCTACTTTGAGAATTTGAGAACCTGTATAGGCTTGATCATAGTTAGAACTGTTTGTCTCATTACCGGAAGCTTTGTGCCGTTAAACTTCGTGTTGGGTTTGGCTTGTTTAATGACAAATGACTGGTATTTTTCTTTTTGTACAGAAAAGTTACTTCAATTATTTTATTGCTAAACTTTGCTGATCTTTCCAGGTAAAATGACATGAAATTATATGATGAATGAATTAATAATTTAAATTATTATATGAAAATATTAGTTGTTACTGCACTGAAATTTAAATGCTGATAAGTGCAGGAGAGAGATTTAAGTAAAATCTGAGGATATGTACTTCCACTAAACTGAGCTGTGGTAAAGGGAGCTAAAGTCTATTTCAATTTAAAAGAAAACCAAAAAAAAACCAGCAAAACCAAACACTTGAATAGTATCTAAATACAGGACATATATTGTTCTGTATTTCCTGGCGTGGGGGGGAATCATAACCACCCTTTCAAAACCACTCATCTTTGTGTTACTTAGTGGAAAAGCCTGGCCATTTTTGGCAATTTCTTTTCTTTTTTTTTTTTTTTTAATATTGCTTGTGTTCTTGCAGACCTAGCATTTGTCAGCATAATGAATTTTTTTCAGCTATTAGAGGGCAATGCATGGTCTCTAATAATTAAATTATTAAATATTCAGTACTTTGCTAACTGACAACATATTGGAAATGTAGTCAGCATTTCAGTTTGGTTTTGATAGGAATCACAAGGAACAGGCTGAGACTGGTATGCATTAGATTTTTACAAAATCTGAGTTCCTTTGTGCAAGCAGTACTCATGCAGTTACAGATGGTGTGTGGATTTTATACAGCTGCAACTTAAGACTTAAAACACTTATCATTGCAGTGGTAACAGGTAACTTAAAGAATCCTAAGCTTAATACTTACAGATATTTAGGTGTCTTTAAAGTAGTCATGTTAACACAAATGCAGCATTTTTATTAGGTGATGCACAATTTCTGGGTGCAGGTTTGTTTTTTTTATAAGATACTTGTGTTTTATACCTCATACTTTTGGCTGTTTCCTCTGTTATGTGCTAAACGTCTTTGTTATCTTTGTTATCCTATTCATTCTGTGATACAATGGTTGGAATGGCTGATACTTATATTAGTGCCACAGCATTACAAAAAAATGTATTTATTTATGCAGTGACTTAAAATAACTCATTGCCATGAATGGTTTTTATAAAAAGATTAATTCTTAAGATCTAGAGAGGACAAACACTTCAAGGTGCTATACAAACACTGTTCTACTTAAAGTTCAAACCTGTATGAACAACCATGTTTAAGGAAGTGTTTAACACAGTTACAACACACCTTTTGAAGTAACACAGCATAACTTTGCGATAGATAACTAACCTGGCTCATTGAGTGTAGCTACTTAATAAGCAGCTGTATTTTAATGCTATCTTGAAATATGGAAAATATATTATTGCTAAGCTGCATTCATTTATAGAAATAGTCTAGTGCCGTTAAGGATGTAATGTTTTAAGCCAGTTTATTTGCTTAAGCTTTTTTGGTGGGTTAATGTTTATTGACTACGTAAGAGAGCTTCAGCACCATGACGCGGTCAGAAGTGTCCTTCCAGCAGTGATCTATAGTTGGGGTGTTGCAGGGTCAAGTACTCGTATGTTCAGACAACCTCAGGCAGTGACAGACTAATTTATTCTCTCAATATCTTGCTTTGCTTAGCCAATCAAAAAAACAGATCAAGACTTGTGCAATACTGCTTTTTGAAGGCTTTATCTGGTACCTCTTTCTTCTCTTTCCTCCTCTCCCCCAACATGGGTAGGAGCATATATTGGGTTGTCCTATTAGCTCCCTCCAAGAGGGAGGGGGAGAGAGGTGGGAGAACAGTTTGTGTGATGCTTCTGACATATAAGTAGTGCCTGCACCTTTATTTGCCCAACTTACTGTGTTGAGTCAAAGACCCTGTAGACTTGTATCTGCTGTAATAACATGCTGTCTTCTCCGTTCCACCACCTGTCTTAATCTTCTGTCTTTTCCCAGTGCAGTTTAAAAGTGTATTAGCAACTCAAAACATTTATTTCTCCAAAGAAGTCTCTCTTGCATCTGGATTTCTGGTAGAAAAGGGAAAATCAAATGAAACCCTTCTTCAAATACCCAGAGAGAACCTCAAGATGGAGGAACTGAATATATTAGCTTACTGGCACAAGGGATTGTTACAGGAATTCACTGAAACAGAGGGGAATAAAGTTAGCATATGCAAGGTGCAGTACTTTTTAGCTGGTAAAAGCAGTTCAGTCAGTTATTTTCATACCTGTATTTCTGTCTTTTGTGGGAATGCAGGGTACCTCACTGCACAGGATACAGGTGCAAGTGGCACATCGAGTCTCTATTCTTGATTTTTCCTAATTTTCAATTGCTTTTCTCTGTAACCTAAAGGTGATCCTTCTGCTGTTCCTGTAGCTACTCTGCTGCATTAGTGCAGTGTATCAGTGTAAATCTTTGCGTTTTTTTTTTCTTATTAATTCACATCTTATGGGTAGCAAAGTCTAGAATTGGCTAAAAAAATCATTCTGAAATACAGTACTACCTTGTCTGCGCTGTAAAGGAAGGGTCAAAGGCTTTGGGATGCTCAAGATTACATCTAATATATTAAACGCTAACACATTAAGCGTTTTACAGCCTTGGATCAATTATATCTGACCTCTGTGCTGACACGTATGCCACTAACTAATCACTGTAGATGTAATAAATGCTGGATTGAAAGGGCAACTTTATTGCTGTCTGAATCTGTTCTCAGCACTCAGACTTCAGAAATACTGACACTCTCCTTTTATCGTGTGGTAGAATGCAAGAAGTCTCAACTGCTGCTTCATGTTAGGTGCTCAGTTGCAGGGGAGGTGGAATAAATGTGAACTTCTAAAGTATTTATTACCACATTTATACTTTGTTTTGGTGGCCTGGTTATACCAGGCCAACTTGACCCCAGCACTGAAGATGCTGGAGATGCAAGGTGGAGAAAATGGTGCTTTACCTCCTTCATTCATCTAAAACTTTCGCAAAAGCCCATTGTAGTACGTGGTAACATCTAATTCTGGCACCAAAGCCTTGGTTTCTGTGCTTAGCCATGCTTGTATTGCTGAAGAAAATCTGAAGATCTCCTTCTGAGAATAACCAATAGGGAAAGTTAATCTGAAATGGGTCACAGTGAGATTCTGCTGCTAATCCATGTACTATTCTTGTGTAAATCTTCTGTCATGTGCGCGCAGGCTACAAAAGCACCTAGCCAACTGGTATCACGTTGATCTTCTAGAATTCTGTATGTAGCAGTTAATAGTCCTAGATTAACTTCTTATCTGTTCTTAAATTGCCTAAAATGTAAACCCATCAATCTTTTAATGAGGTAAAAGGTTAAGTAGAATATTAGAAGTTTTGAGTATGTAACAGGCCTATATAAAGAGAAGTAATTCTGTCTAGAAGTCTGCTGGATGTTCCTACTTGAAGCTTACTTTTTGGTGAGTAGCATGTAGTAATACAGAATATATTGCAAGAAATAAATTCTGTGTAAGAACAAAGTACTTCTGATTTAAAGGGCTAGTTTTTTTGTTCAAGTTTGTCTGATGCAAACTTTCCTGTGGATTTTTAGAATTGGATCGGCCCTATCCTGGGTGGGACAATATAAGACACTTGTATTAAGAACCTTAGGTGATTGTTAACTGCTCTTAGACTGAGAATTCCAAGCTTTCCGACATTATTCAAGAAACTTAACAGTCTATGTCGTTAATTGTAAAACTAGAGAGGATTAAAATGAGAATACTTCATGTGGAGCTTTATTTTTTAAAAAAGGCAGGAGACTTTTATTTGGGATTACAGTAACTGGAATAGCTCCCCGTGGGTAGTTAAAGATTGAATTCAATAATTTGATTATACTTCCTGACATGTAGTAGCCCACGTACTGTCTTAAGTGTGACTACAACCTAAATCTAATGCTGCTTCAGACTGGAAAAACTTAGGTCAGCTGAAAAGAAATTTAATTATGGATGGTGCCACCCAATATTTCAGTTTCAATGCTAAGAAAATTGTTGGGTCAACACTGTTAGAAAATTTCTGTTGGAGCCCACTGCAACTTTGAGAAGGACTCAGTGGATAGTTAAGGGCCATGTTGAAGTCTGGATCCATGGCTATGTTAGTGACGAGTGCAGTACAGAGAAACCCAATCCAGAAGGCTTATGTACTGGCAAAAGCCGAGCTGCAGCAAGGGTAGATGAACATAGCCTGCACAATCAAACCCAACTCCTCTGGATAAAAGGCTGGTTGATCAGCCTGGGTTGACCTCCATGACAAAGGCAAGCTGCCTAGCTGAGCTACTGATAGCACCTTTTCAACTGAACACTTACCAAAGCAACCACTGGAAACTGTATTTCTGAAACTTAGTAGTTTCTCTATGAATGTGAATAAAAATGTGGAATAGTATCCTGTCTTTGTGTTTCAAGTATAAGCTAGTAACAGCAATACTGTCTTGCAGTACCTCACAAAGCAAGTGGAGCTCTTGCGTCAGATGAATGATCAGCATGCAAAAGTTTATGAACAGCTGGATGTGACAGCAAGAGAACTCGAAGACACTAATCAAAAACTAGTTGCGGAGAGTAGAGCTTCACAACAGAAGATATTAAGGTAACAAACTTGTACTAGATTCCCTTCCTCACCCCCCCACTCAATTGATAATATGAAAAAGAGCAGTCCAAGTGTATTTGTGTAGTTACTGGGTGGCTGTCTCTGTCTAGGGTTGTTCTACAATACTGCTAAATTGAATGCATAGTTTTATTTAAAGGTCTTTTGGGGCCAAAGAGCAGCCTTCAGAAAAGAAACTACAATATGAGGGGATGGGAAATTCCCATGTCCTTGACTAAACACTCAATTGTTTTAACAGCAGTCCTTCACCTTTTAGCTTGACAGAGACTATTGAAAATCTGCAAACGCACATAGATGACCTGCAACGGCAAGTAGAAGAATTGAAAAAGTCTGGACGAGGCCGGATGAGCCATGAGAGATCTGACCAGCCAAGATCAATGCATAGTTTCTCATGTTTGAAGGAGCTGTATGACCTTCGCCAGTAAGGCTTTTTACCTTGCATAGCAAATTGCAAAGACAATACTGAAATTATTTTAAGCAAAGCTTTAAAAACTAAGACACAAGCACAGATGTCAAACAAGCTAACAGAAAAACATCTAATGTTCACAACTAGCAAAATACCTGCGCAGTCCTGCACCGTGTGGTGTTGCCACAGCTTCTGGCATACTTCTAGGCTGCTCTAGGCTTTGTGTGAGAGGAACTGCAGTTTCCACTTCTGTCTTGAAAGTCTCCCAAAGTCTCTGACCATATCAAATTGTAGCCTAGAAAGCTTACCGTGATTTGCACCCCACTTTTTTCAGTCAGTTAAAAGCACACACACACATAATCTGAAAAATAAACATCCTAAATGCAAAGTATTTTCTGTAACTTACCCTTTTCCTTGGATGTCTGTGGATATCTTCTTTTCGAGGAAGGCAGGATTCCTACAATAGCTTTCCTGAACTTAAGCTAGTTAAAATGATGCTTAAGCTGGTAAAATGGTGCCTGGAGCGCTGGGCTGCTTTTTAGATTTAGAGCAGTTTTACCCAGCTGAACTGCATTAGTATGCCTGTGAGGACAATCACCTGGGGTAAAAGCTCAGACTAGCTTCAGTCCTAGAAGGTAATTTCGTAAGTAAAGCACCTCTACAGACAGGCACAACAGGCTTTTGTGTCTGGGCTTCAGCACTACATGGAGGTAGGACTGTAGAATAAATCTGTACATCCAAAAAGAAGTTATTTCTTGACAATTCAAAAGATAAGTGGATTCCCTCAAACTGCCAAAGGCTTGTAGAAATACCAGCCTACAGAATTGCCTTGTCAATTTTGAAGCTTGTTTCCACAATCAACAGTGACAAAAGTTACAAGAGTGGAGTGCTGCGGAAAAAATCTGAGTGTCGGAAACTATTGCATGATACATGGAGGCAATGTTCGTTTATACTTAAATTGTAGGTCTAGTTATTCAATAAGCTTGTCTGTAACTTGAAGCTGTTAATGAGCTGCCATTCTGCCATTTACAAACTCTGTTCTGATTATTAAATGGGCTGATAGGTAGTAAAATGACTGTTACGTATACTCGGAGGTGTGTTAGCACAGAGTTTAAATCTGTCGTTACCCAGCAAGGAAAACTTTAGGTGTGCTCAGCTGTACTTCCTACATTTGATAATACTTATTTTTGTTTCTGCAGGTATTTTGTTTATGATCATGTGTTTGCAGAAAAGATTACTTCGATGGACAGTCAGCTAAGCCCTCTAGAAGAAGAAAATGAGAACTTAAAAAAGGCAGTTACAGTTCTGCAAGCCCAACTTAACCTAGAAAAAGAGAAGAGGGTAACAATGGAAGAGGAATATAGTCTTATGGTAAAAGAAAACTGTGACCTTGAACAGAGGCTTGTTGATATAGACTTATATCGGGCTCGTGCAGAAGAGCTGGAATTGGAAGTAGCTGAAATGCGACAAATACTTCAGTCTGAAAACACATTCCATAATGCAGAGAAATTGGTGCCAGAATCCTTTTTCATTTCATTCAGGGAATCCTCAGAAAAGGAGCTTGGTCAGAGCCCGGCAGATGATGGACTTCTGACTGTATCAGAGCTTGAGAAGAAGGCACTGAAACGGAGCAGCAGCGAAACTTTCCTTAGCAGTGCTGCAGGGGGAGACATTCTAAGGGGCCATGAAGAAACATGTATTAGGAGAGCTGAAGCTGTGAAGCAGCGAGGAATCTCTGTACTTAATGAAGTTGATGCTCAGTATAATGCTCTGAAAGTGAAGTATGAGGAACTATTGAAGAAGTGTCAAATGGATGAAGATTCTTTGAAACACAAGGCTGTACAAACTCTGAAGCAGTATTCCAAAGACCTGAATGTGGGGAATAGCCAGTATGATCTTTCAGCTAGCAATCTAGAATGCACAAATCTGGAGCTAAGTGACTCTCCCACAAATGCTCTTCCTGAATATAAAGCACTCTTCAAGGAAATTTTTAGCTGTATCAGAAAAACAAAGGAAGAAATAGATGAACACAGAGCTAAGTACAAGTCCCTCTCCTCTCAGCCATAACATTGGACACGCTGATGACCTGTTTCTGTGGGTGACTAATCTGTTAGTCAAGAAGGGGAAAAACTTTATACAAATGTCAGAAGACCCCTTATACTGATGTATTTCTTGAGCACTCAAAATGAATGTTTTGAATTAGCTTGTAGACCTATAGTTAACAAGCTAGTTAGTTAACAGTGAGTCTCCCTGTACCTATGTAGCAATAGATTTAATGTTGTTTAGCACTGTCACACAAACTAGTGGTTGTAAAGCAAACAAAAATTACAGCTTAATACTGCACTACTACTTCATACTACACTTAATCTCTGGCCAGAGCAGTAACTGACACTAGTTTCCTTAGTCCACTTCAAAAATAACAGAGCTAAGAAATCTGTACTGTGTTTCTCACAAGGAACCAGACTAAAGCTTTCCTTTAGTTCGCAGGTGATGATCTAGCTCTGTAACTATGTCTATGTAGAAAATTAATAAAAACAGAGCCCCTGACCAGTACCGTGGGCAGCCTCTCCTTGATTCTGGAGAATGAAGCTAGCAGTCTAGCTGAACTTGCTTTGGCAGGGAGGTGGAGAGCTGGCACAGCAGCCTGCACTGTGCTCGGTTTAAGCTAATGCCACATTTTCACATGCACTAAGCTCTCCCATAGATTGGTATAAATGTCTTCCTATTAAGAAAGGATTTGATGTAAAGTTTGCGTGGCTTTCTAGGTATGGTTTCTTATGTAGGGCACTTTGTCTTAAGGCAAGATACTGTGAATTGATTATGTATGTTATTTGGGACCTACTGTTCTTTGGTGGAATGTCTGCAAAGTACATTTTTATGTGTATTTGGTAAGATAGGAAGTTGCAGTTTAGCTATTTAACTTTAGTAGTAGCATTGACATAGTGGAATAGCTTTTAATCTTACATACCACAAACTCCAAGTGCTTGAAGGAGACAAGCCAGGTAAAATCTTACCATGCTGTTTTGTCTGTTGCTTCCAGTGTCAGCTTCTGTGGACCTATTCCATGCTGCCTGGGGGGTGGGAGGATGGA